TCTTCATCTAAATGGGCAGCCAAAAGACAGCAACCAAAACCGGCGCACGAATATGCGTGGGTAATGGTTGTACAAAGTGAACTGAACTATCTGCAGAATTCCCAATAATTTGCCAGGTTTTTATATCATTGGCTTGAGCAACCTAGCACTATCGCGCCCAGAAGCAAATTATAGACCAAAATAGAAGTGAACCAACAGCTGAGCCCCAGGAAAACCCACGGAAGATGTCACCTGGATGGCAACCTGACTACATGGATGCAGAATTTTCTATCAGCATAGACTAACCCACCCCAATATGAACAGATTCTCTGTTTAAAATGTCTAGTTCATCCAACCAGATGAGAATTTCAGAATTGAAAGCGACTCTGTATTGCGATTCATAGCTTTACCTAAATGACATAACAGATTGACCTTATGCCAACAATCTAGCTTTCAGAGCTCCTTCTATAATTTGCTCTCAAAGTAGTGCACCTCTCTGAGACCTTTAGATCTGCAAATCGAAGAGAAGTGAAAAGTCACTTCTCGCTTTATTTGTGAGAATCTTATAGTACTTTTGTCTTCCGCCTCAATAGGAGGAACATTGTTCTTAAGAAACAAAGTCTCATAACATCCAACGACATCTATAGATTCCAAGGCCTTTTCAAAGGTCTCAGTGTTCAAAAAGTTGATTGAATTACATCCTAGCTCCTTATCACTCTGCTGCTAGGATAACGTGCTTTGATATTTAGTCAAAAGCACTGTTTTATGAGTTTGAGACCACGAAAAAGCATTTATTAATGAGAAGAATTGGCGCAAAAGGTGATCAAGTTAAACTTCCATATTCCTTCCCAAATATTAGCTATTTAAATGACCTCATTTAAGAGATTATGATTATTTCTTCTATTTACTCTTGAGAATAATGAAATCACCAACCACCCTGACATTTATTAAACTTTACTGTTACTCTGTTTCTTTTATAACTAAGATGTATCACCTGCTTTTGGCGACAGCATCGCGTAAGTAAAGATAAGGTCAGATTATGTTTGCTAGAATGAGAGACAGTGTGATTGCTCCATCGTTTTACATCGTTTTGTCCATCTCCTTCTTGACCTTCAACAAGTAAATTCCCTCTGACCCTCTCTACGATCTGATTGGATCATTTTTCTCGAATCGCGGCACTTGGAATCCCCCACATCAACACGAGACTGTCCGATTACAGGCTTGTACGCTTGTGATGCTCTTGTTGTCACGTCCAGTCCATCTGTGTGGCGATGGCACTCCTGCTGTACAGTCAAAGTTCACTGGGCCTGCCTAGGATTCGCGGCTGTAAACAAAGTGTAATTTCTCGCTCGATTTAGCTGCGCAAGCACTGTCTTTTGTTGCGGCTGAATTATCCGGTCGATCGATAAACGAACCCTACCGGTCGTGTGATTTTTGGGCCGGCGCAGGAGGAAAATAGGTTCCGGATCCGATACTGTCTAAGTGTTGGTAGAGTATCGCCGCAAGAGAATCAGTTGTGGAGCGGTGCGCTATGTGTGAGATTCTGAATTGAAAATGCTCAAGTGATGATGACACTGGGCCAACGTTGGACTTGTATAAGATACAAGCACCATTTTTTGAATCGGGTATGGTAAACGGATAGTCATAATAAAACTTTGAATTTGTCCTAATAACAAACAGCAATATCCCCTAATGTAGGTCCACTCCAAACTCTTCTTGGTATTTACCTAATTGGCTATTTTCGCGTTGAAAAACTTGCTAACTACGTCGGAGATAGAATTCCGAAAGAAAGAAAGAACAAATATTATGGAAAAATGCATATTTATTGTATAAAATTTCTTCAATAGGTTTTCTATCCTGCTGCTTGCATAGTAAAATGCGGTGAAGATAGCTTTCTTCCACCTTCAGAATGGTAAAAGAATACTTTCGCTATGCGCCACAATTCTCTGTTTCAGTTCCTCTTTCGTTCTCGGTTTTCAAGAACAAATTGTTTGCTTTAGATAGCCCCACAGAAAGAAACCCAAGGGGACTGTAATACCAACTTCAGTTTCTATACGCCAAATGGCAGGTACCACATTATCTTGTAACATTTGCAAGTATGAGACATCTTAAACATTTCCATAAACAAAGTTGTTTATTTGTTTGAGGTCACGGATGAGAGGGATAAGACGATGTGAAACGATGGAGCAATCGTAACGTATGTAGTTTAGCACAAACCATTTCAATACACCATGTGGAGTGGATGTAACAAATCCAACGAATGTTTGAACAACATTTGCCTACTATACGGTGCTCTATTGGCAGACATTGGTTCAGAGTGGCAGATACAGTGATGTGGACGAACTATGACGCGACGTAGACGGTTGAAGGGATTTGGCTTCCGTCGAGAATTCCCGACTGCCCGATCGGGGCCCCAACTATTCAGATTGTAGCTAACCAACAATACAGTAAGGTATGACATTAGACCGAAGTCATTAGCGTGAATGTACCCTTTGCCTGTATCCAATCTCAAAAGTAAAAAAAACAAAACAAATAAAAAAGGAGACGAAACTGCAGTCAGTAAACTGATTGATTTTATTTTCTCCTTTGTTCTTTGTTTTTCTTCTAATCCATGGTTATCGTGGAGCCACATCGGTAAAGATTGATAGTTTATACTTGTTTTCAAAAACGAAAAATATGTCTATTTGTTCAGTCAATTCCTCATGCTTCAAACATCATTTTCAAAGTCACCTATACCGGCAAATCGAATCAGTTTTGCAACATCAGAACAAAAATAAAGAAGGACAATTTGGGTACTTTGGTCACTTCCTTATCGTTGGTAGAAACGTCCAGGGGACGGAGACCGACAAATGTGGTACTCCACCAGTAGCACAAACATTTCATTTGATAATCAAACCGTGGAAAACAGTTGAAGGAGTAAGAACAATGAAGTCCAATGACATAAAAACAAAACAAGTGTGTCCTTCAGGGTTCCCACTTGGAAACTTTAGGTACTTACTCTTCACCTTTCATTCTGGAAGACAACTCAGCTCTACGCACATAAAAGCTTCTTTTGGGGATTTTCCTTATCACATTCCTCTGTAATGATCCCTAAAATAGTTCTACAATAAGACTGGTAAGTAAGAACTGGTGGTTTCACAAAGGCAGAATATAAATAATTGAAGCCAGATGTCTTGTTCACATTCAGCTCCTCTAGCATCCGAGAAGTATTTGTCATTGATATTATACTATTACATCATATATATTATATTATATATTACATTATATGTATATATATATATTATGATACATCGCATCACATTATATTACTGCTATTCCTAATGTACATGTTGACGATGGCCCCTGAAATGATTAAATTATAGAAACATTTCTTTTGTCTCTGACAAAGTTAGATTTTTGTCTGTTTCGCGTTGAGTTTAACTATGCCATTATCAGACTTTGTTCGGGTTATACTAATTAGTCCGATGCCCGGATAATTTGTTATCTTCTTCAATGATGGCTCCCAGACTCAGTCACACACTGTTCATGGTGGCCTCTTTACTTTTTAGGCAACAGGAGGTTGAATAAACCGAATGATGAGTGCAGACTTGTACGTCTAATCTCTAGTGAGGCACTTTTTATAAAATAAATAATGCTGCATCTTCATGCTGCATTTGTCCTTCGCTTTCACTTTAGGTTTCATCTTCTATGTCCTTAATACTATTCGTATCCGCTCGTTCCGTATTCTGGGTGGATTTATGCGAAACATTATTTAGTTTACTTTCCGGTAATGGGCTTTTACTGCACCCTATCCTTACTTCTTACTCAAGCGCAGAGCTCGACTAGTGACAATGTTTTTGATGCAGTTGCTGTCGGAGTTCACACAATGATTTTTACTCCAAGTATTTCTGTAATCAATATATGCAAACCACATCATTTTTTATGAAGAGGAGTTGATTCGGAACTGGAGCGTTTATAGTTTCAATCTTCACTTTCTAGTAGTCTTTATCCCTCCCCTGGGTGTCAGATTATCAGGCGTTTTGCCTTAGAATCTGGCAAACCTTGCTCTCAACATTCCGATAATAATTCCGCTCTTTTATCCAAATGGAAAGCCAAATGACAGCAATCAGAATCGGTGCACGATAGCGCATGGTTAGTGGTTTTAAACATTAAAAACTGAAACTGAGTCGTAAGCCGACTGGTTTAAACGGAAAGTCCCATCAAAATACTTTTCTGGTTTTCCAACACTGGTAATAAAAAGTCTCATAAACTTATTGAAGGAGGGCTAACTTTCAATAAACTGCTCATACTTTTGATGTTTTCCCATTTTGTAGCGACAAAATTTCGCGACGAAGATATCAATTTGATTCTCCGGGAACCCCGGACGATAGTCCGGAAGGCTCGTTCCAGGGACATTCGGATGATGTGGACGAATATGATGAACAGGGTGGAACCGGTTTGGAAGAGACCACCAAAGAATCCACCGATTCGGATGAGAAATCTCAAAACAAAACACCATCCGATGAGATTCTCACAAGTGTCGATCATTCGGACACGAAATTGGACCATGTTGGTCCGTTATGCGAACTCAGTCCACTCTATATACCGAATCACTATGAGTCTCTGCCGGACCGATTTGATCCGGATCAATTTCCACAATCCTATCGGGAGAATAATAGCAAAGAAGCGCGTCTGTTAGATTATTGTGAAAATTTTCGACGTCAATATGCCACTCTGTGTCCGGATCGTACCCGGCTACTCCTGGCCCCGGAAAATGAATGTGGTGTGGAGAAATTTGTTTGCACCACATTGCATCCGATCTATCTACCCTATCCGGACTTGTACACGTGGGATGGAGCGGCCAGTTTTGTGGCCGATTTTCTCCAATTCGTTCCTTTGGTCCCGTCCACGGAATTGCCCAAACGATTGCTCAGCCCATCCACTGTGGCCTCTATACAGAAGGGTACGTGTTTCGACTACGCGACACTGTTGTGCTCTCTACTGCTCGGTGTAGGCTACGATGCCTATGTGGTCAGTGGTTACGCAACACGGGAATGTTGTTACATGGATGAGACCCGATTACTCTCGCCATTTCAAACCAAAGAAGCGGAAATCAAACCATCCGAGGAGGAAACAGAATCGAAAAAGTATGTGATCAAACAGCCCAAAGATTTGACTTCCCAATACGAACAAGCTTGTATGGCCAAAGAGATTAATGCGGAAGTGGAACGTGCTCAGAAGGAAAAAGAACGACTGGAACTGGAAGATGAAGAAGCGAATAAACCACCCAAAGATCCTCTGTTCGGTCTGCGTGTCCATGCATGGATTCTTGTCCTGGCTGGCAAACGTGAAGTTCCCGAGGCATTCTTTATCGAACCGTTGACAGGACTATCCCATCCACTTGATACACCATTGTATTTGGGTATCGAGAGTTTGTGGAATGCGACAAACTATTGGGTGAACATGCAAGACTGTTCTACGGGAATAGCTCATTTGAAATATGATTTAGAGAATGGACTCAATTGGGAATATTTGTTACCTAGCGGAAGTCTTCGACTTCGAGCCGGTCTGAACGATATCGATTTTCCCCGGAATCAAATCTCAGAAACATCCGATTTGACCTGTGAAGGTTTACACGTTCAGTCCACATTGAATTTCGAACTGATCAGTCACGATTCGACTCAGAGCAGTCATGTGGCCCCAGTCCCACCGGCTCCAATGGCCAATTCATTGGGTATCGGATCTAACCGTCTGTTTCGAACATCCACTTCCGGGGATGTACCCAAATTGACCGGGACCAAACAGGTCGCTTCGTTGGATGATAAACTACTCCTCATGGATTTACCCCCATCATNNNNAAAAAAATGACTCTCTACAGGCGTTGTCGAGTGGAAAAATTTGCCCCGTTCTCGGAAAACGATGGTGTCATTTTCAGGCTGACCAATTATGAGGATGCAGAACGCACGCAACCGGTTGATGTGTTGGAAAAATTTGCTCAACGTGCTGATAAACTGTTAAGCCGATTCACCGTGGTGAAAACAAAACAAGTTACCGAAACATTTGATCATGGACGAAGTGGGACCCATTTGGCTGAGCACATTTACTATCGTCATCAACAAGCTGCACAGACCAATAGAACAATGAAATTCTATCACGTGGCTCGTGTGGACGGGCTGGAGAAACGAATTCAAACCCCGACCACAATGCAGGAATTTTATGTCGGACGTAAAGATCGAATGTACTACCGGGAAGTGTTGTTCGGTGGAAAGATTAAAAAATTCGGTCCGGCTCAAGTGGCTAAAGATACCGAGGGTGGTGCACTGGTTTGTGTGACCACAACCAGTCAGTTGAATATCGATCGAATCACCGAACGATTCTCACGTGACGAGTCGAAGGATGCAGATGACGACCTGGCTGAACGGATATTCTACATTGCCGAGGATCGTATATTTCTAACTTATCATATTGGAGAGGATCGGATCGCTCCGTGCACACGCGAATTCATCAAACCGCCTCCGTCAGATGATAGGAGAAATTCCATTCAACTCTATTCGGATACACACTCCACATTTCAGGTGAGATCACCATTCAGTCCCGTCCGCAATCCTATTTCGTGTAAGTTGTGCATGAATCAAAGATAACACAGACTGAACCTATAAATTGTACTTTAACAAAGAAACAAAGTTTGATGAACATGTACTTACAGTCCGCCAAATTGATAACATCTTTCAAAAGATTTTCAAATTATATGCACGTATGATTACGGATTCGATAGATTGCAACAATCTGTTTTGTTTCACTAACCTGATTTGTTAACCAGTTTCAGTTGTTACGACCATCGATTGTGCTCATTTTTGCCCGGGTTTTGGTTGCACATCTCGGAAAAATTTGCCGACCAGATCGCAGAGAGAGGGTCAGAGGGAAGTGAATTGTTTGAAGTCGCGGATGTTAACGGAAAAGGAAAAGTGAACTATTTGCCAATTTCAGACATCTGTGGAGCCGTCGCGATATCCGGCTGTCTGTGAAGGGTCGGGTTTATGCTGTGGCAGTTCGGCAAGTTCTGCTATACAGAACAGAAACTTATCCATTAAGAAAATAGGATAAAGATAGGCTGTCGGTGTTTGAAAACCACTGTCTACGCAGTATGGCACGAATCTGATGAGGCAGCCGGATGAGCAACGCTGAGGTTAGGTGTAGGGTTTTAGGTAAATGCGGTCGTCCACTAAAGCAACTGGTCGACATCCATAGANGTTGCCATGGCGAACGGTGTTTATCGAGGCAAGTAGTGGGTGGAAGAAAGCCAAGGGTGGTCAAGTTTAGACCTGGCATGAGGGTATGAAAACCCTAACCAGGTGTCTGGGTCGCATAGATCCCTTTAAACACCTCTGCTGGGGACCTCGGATTGATCGTACCTGAGCGTTAGAGATACTGAGGGATGTGGCTGAGTGTTGTAAACCGTGGCGTTCGTGCATCATGTCAATTTGTCTGCAGCATTAGTCCACTGAAATTCCAAATTTTCTCTTTGATCCTACTTTCAACCTTTCCTGTCTTTCTCCTAATGTTCATCAAAATAGGCAGCCAAAAGACGGCAACCGAAACCGATGCATGATAGTGCATGGTTAATGGTTGTATAGACTGAAATGAACCAACCTAAAGCGATGAAGCCATCGCACCATAGATGCCGTCATCTGAAGGGTATACTTTGTAGTCCCGTTCTATCTGTACGGTTTAATCAAGAACGGTAAGGAAAAGAAATGAGTACAGAAATCGGGTAGGTGCATGAGTTTCAG